ATACCAACAGGTTCATATTCCTCCAATTACAGAGCAGAGAGCACTTCTGGTGGCATGGTATTTCCTGAATGGACCACAGCACAGCAAATATAACAGAGTGGTCTTTTTGACTGATGCTGTGTAACCCAAAAGACACTCAGTTTGTAGACTTGACACAACATTTGATTCACCTAGTCTCTTCAGTAGAACAATCTGTAATGCAATGGACTCCATGTCACTGTGGCATAGAAGGCAATTATATAGCGGACAGGTTGGCTAGAAGCGGCAGTGACATGTTACAGCCAAATAGTGACTTAGCCCACCAAGAGACTAAGACAATAATACTATCTAGTATCTAAGAAAGGTGGCTGGATACACTCAAAATTCTAGCCTCAAGAATCTCTTCACCGCCTTTCTAGATATACACATTGTATTATATTCAGACTAAGGACAGGGCACAACAGATTTCGTCAACATATGTTAAAACTTTTCAGTGTAGGAAACACGGAGACGTGTCCCTGCAAATTGGCACCCAAAAATGCTGAGCATGTGCTCAAAAACTGTCAACTGTATGTTGACAACAGAGACGCAATCTGGCCTGTTCCAACGACAATAAAGACAAAACAGTATGGTACACGAGAAGATATGGACTGCACGATAGCTTTCATAAAAGTTTTATGACAGAAGGATCAAAGAAAAAGGAAAAGAAGAAGAAGAAGAAGAAGAAGAAGAAGAAGAAGAAGAAGAAGAAGAAGAAGAAGAAGAAGAAGAAGAAGAAGAAGAAGAAGAAGAAGAAGAAGAAGAAGAAGAAAAAGAAGAAGAAGAAGAAGAAGAAGAAGAAGAAGAAGAAGAAGAAGAAGAAGAAGAAGAAGAAGAAGAAGAAGAAGAAGAAGAAGAAGAAGAAGAAGAAGAAGAAGAAGAAGAAGAAGAAGAAGAAGACTCAATAATAAATGTACGCACGTTCTGTGTTGATACTTCTGCTTCTGCCTCTTCTTAGTGTTCATCGGCTAATAATGCTGTCGGAAAGTTCTGGTTGTTCATCCATTTCTACATTTTAATCTTGTCCCAGGACTTGAGTTTTGCCTTCAATCCGTTTTTCAGTTATGATTTATTTGTATGCAACTCGTTGGTTCCTCGCCCCACAGGCAAATGCATTCAGACTCCGAAGGAACCCTTGACATGCTTGTTAGGGTGGTAATGGATTTGTCCCCCCCCCCCCCAACAGAACTGGGCCCCGGAACCCAAGAGGATGTATTGATACAATTGTGAAACGGTTAATGTGCTGAAAGGACATAATTTTTGCTGTTGGCAATGAGTTTACATGGGGGGGGGGGTGTGGAGTGGTCCTCAGTGGCTAAGTGGTAAAGTCCGGGATTGTATCGCTAAGTTTACGAGGACAAATACCAAGCGATTGCTGTTGAAGCTATGTACGTTTGTTCTTTTGGCGACTTTCATGGTCAACAGTCTTGCAGAAAGCGAGAGAGCGAGCGAGAGAGAGAGAGAGAGAGAGAGAGAGAGAGAGAGAGAGAGAGAGAGATAGATAGAGAGAGAGAGAGAGAGAGAGAGAGAGAGAGAGAGAGAGAGAGAGAGAGGTCGATCTATATGGGATAAAACCCACAACAATAGTGAAGTTGATACTCTCGACTTTAAACCTGGAACATTACTAGTCGAGTCAAATCTGTTTTGTGCTGTTGGGCATCGCAGTTTAACGGATTTTAGGCAGCCTAGCCAAGGCGTGGTCGCTGCTTGGTTTGCTGTGATGTTGTGTAGTCTTGAGCTGTCAGCACTTTCAATCCATATTTTCTAGGTCTCCCCCAGCCTCTTGATCTGCCCAGTTTGTGACTTTTGAAAATAAAGTTAGTTTGTTCGATGTTGACATCCTTATGTTGCATGTTATCACGTCCGTTAATGTTTTTAGCATTGACACTGACAACAATCTGGCAATGCAGTTGAAACTCGATTTTCTATGACAGAAGAGCGGTATACATGTGTCTTATAGAAGAACGGCCATAGAACCACCTTAGAAAATAGCAGTAATGTATTCCTTACGTCGGATTCTTTTGCGTGTTATTCAGGCACCAACAACATACAGAAAACTTAACACAGCACAGTTTTGTGGAACTAGATTATTACCGCTTTCCAGTAGAAGTTATTCTTCCAGACAGAATGATGAGTAAGTTTGCAAGTGAATTGCTGGTGTCACCGATTCTTCACTGTTCACAACACGATGGAACATGAACTTGAATGTCCTCTGCATTTTATTTCGTGTCTTTAATAATTTAAAATATTTCTCTCTTTATGTTAACGGTAATGTTCTCTCATACTCTGTCATACACAGTTTATAAAGTCTGTAAACATGATGATGGTACCAGTGGCATGTCACGAATTGTCAATTTTTTTTATTCAGAATTGATTGATTTGTGTGAATTGTTTTTCAATATTCAGAATTTAATTTAATTACTAATTAGGAATACAATATTATTAATTACAGTAAATTATCAAATTACACCATAATCTGTTTTTTGAGTTTTGTTTATTTCAAAATTGAGAATAATGATTATAATGTTATTGTTAAGATTAAATTAGGTACTTCAGTCAAATTTTTAAAATGCCCTCTACACCAATAAAACCAGCACATTTAGATAGCTGTAAACAATCTCTTTCCAATGGTACCTCATTTAGGCTTGTATGTCATTTCTGAGCTGAGATATGTAGGTTTTTGTGGAGATGAGATGTAAGAAACAGCCGCTAAAACTTGTGACCCAGAAACAAGAAGTTTTTCACTGCGCAACCTACTGCGCACTTCTGTATCGGCTTTGTTGACATTAGACTGTCATTGGACAAGATGGCAGGCAGTGAGACTCGCCGCATGCGATTGCCTAAAAAATGTCACTGTAAATCTAAACAGCGAAAGTCGGGAAAGAAATTTATTTATGCAAATGTAAAATTGGACGGAGAATTCAACTGTAACTAGCATTACCACAACTGGTAATGTTTAAGGCCTAAAGCCAACCTCGAATTTACCGCTATTTTCAATCAAACTGATGACTAACAGAAAAACAGAGGAGTCCGGCTGTCGTAGACATGCGCTGTTAATCGGGTTCCCCCACGCTGTTTCCAGCTATTTATAGCTGGTCCAAATTCCCACCAATCACGAATTTTCATGAGATTTGGACCCATCCGGAAACCAGCCGAGATTTCCCGAACAAGTTCTGAACGGTTTCCGGGTAACGGAAATTGCCGAAAAGATCGCAAATTGTCGAAACTGTAGTCCCTAATTAAATTTGAACATGATAAAAATAATGATTGATAACTGCTGGTTAGGAGGAAATCCGAAATCAATCCGATATGCCAATATGTATTAAATTTGTCAGACAGTTCAGACTCAGACACCTTAAAATTAAAAAGTTATAACTCATGATAGTGGAATACCATAGACGAGAAGGCAAATACTGTTAGTGACTTTTTTCCACGATCTGAACGGGGTAAGAATAAAAACCAAAAAGTGACTTAATCATTGAAGTTAAAGAAGGAAATAAATATTCGGCTATCTTCTGAATAATGGTCCCAAATTGAGGCCGAAAATATACCCTTACAGTGCCTCAGTCACGTGTCAACTGCGGACTTCCAGCGGCTTGAATTTAGCACTTCCGGCGACTACCGCCACCCCCCGAGAGTATCTCCCACGCCGCTAGGACTGACGTGGATTGAGGCTAAACTAGATGGTTGGGACTCACGAGCAGCAGCTACCACATCTCCTGCAGCTTCCTTCATCCTTCATTTTATTTGCTCATGACTCCCAGCTATCTAGTTTAGCCCCAATCCACGCCCTGCGTAGCGGCGGGGGAGATACTCCCAGCGGTGGCGGTATAATCCTCAGAAGTCCGCAATTCAGCTGTGGTGGTATAGTCCCCGGAAGTCTGTAATTGATACGTGACTGAGGCCTTGTTAGGGTATATTTTCAGCCTCGATAATTTGGGGCCGTTATTCGGAAGATAGCCAAATATTCCAACCATATTATTCCAGTTATGCTGCCCTGGTTTATAACAAAAACTACAATGAAAAACAATACATTACAAGAAATGAAATGGTAGGTGTGATCGGATACCTGAAAGTAGGGTAAGTGAACTCAGTGGTTGACACAGCACAAAGGCTGACAGGATATTTAGTATTGAGAAACATTTTGAAAAGTCGAGAAGTGTATGAAAAACAAGAACTTTCCACTGGAGTTTACAATAAAGACTATGAACATGATAGCATTTAAGCCTATTTGTTTTTTGTCTGCCCTCTTGATCTGTGAACCTGTGTCTCATTCAGTTTGCTGAGCACTGAGTCCACTGGGGTCTGACATGAACTCTTTAACAAATAGATCAGGAACTATCAGAAAACCGTGAAAACAAAAATCCAGGGGGGAAATTTAGCATAGGTCACTGATAAAATATATTTGTGAACATACATTTTTGTTTGTGGCCCAGAATATATATAAATATTACAAACGACATACTCAGTGAACACAAACATAGTTGGCATTAAATGTAATGCTTTCCTGTGGGTCTTAAAATTGATAAGCATGTATCGGGTGACACATATCATGACCTTGAACATACCTATTAAAAGCCATTCTGTTCACAAGAAGACCCTTCCCCCCCCCCCCCCCCACCCATAACTTTAGTAAATGTACTTGTAACCAGACCTACTAAGCGATGCACAGGTGTGAACAGAACCAATATCATTAAATTACATTTCCCTGAAACAGGTCACTGCAGACAGGCTGGTCTCATGGTTTTTGTTGAAATATGGCAACAGAAATGTCATGTTCTGGGCTTCCCAGGGTGAAAGGGTTCACTTTCCTTTGTCAGACTTCATTCCTGTGACTGAAACCACACCACATTTGATACAGGATTATAAGACTATGAAAAACGAATTTTTATTTTTTTACGAGCTTTTATTATTTTATGTCATTCTTCTGTTTGGTTGCATCATCTGTAAAAATGGTCATTATATTTTCCCCAAATCATTAGCGCATGGTCACAAAGCTACTATGATGAAGACTCTGAGAGTGAGTTCACAAACCGACGTCGCCCAGCCCGCAGCAGTAGCGGCAGCTCTCAACAGTACGGGTCACAGGATAGACCCCAGTATGATCGGCGCTGGTCTGGTGACGAACTTGGTTCGAAGATCAAGAAGAAGGTGTGGGATCAAACAAACCTGCCTCCACTAGAGAAGAATTTTTATGTTGAGCACCCGTCAGTTGCCCAGAAAACAGAGGTAATATTTTTTTTTTATTTCATTGTCGAAAATAAACAAAACAAAAAAATTGCTTAATCTTTGTGTCGTAAAAGCTTTTTGATGTGGATTCTGGGGGTGAAAGAGAGAGAGGGAGGGTAGGATGTATGTAAATGTGATGGTCAGAAAAGTGCAAATATTTTGTTGCTTACCTGTAAATGAAAACACAACAAACTACCCTTTTGAACTCTTTGAGTCTCAGATTGTTTAGCATCACAGGCTCAAGGGGTGGTCATGAGAGACATAAATCGGCGATCATGCATTGGGCTTCTAGGCAGGAACCTATGAACGTATGATGTGTTCCTTCGGACTTGGAAGAGTTTGAATGCAGAAGAAAATAGTAAAATCTGAGCCATTTTTATCTGTTTAAATGTACTTTTAAATAAAATTTCCCTTTTTTTTTGGATTTTTTTTTTTGGGGGGGGGGACCACAAGAATTGACTTTTTTGCTTCAAAGTCAGAGTGCATCTGTCTGAGAGGCGAAGAACCAACAGTCTGCATGCAAATAAGCCAGATCTGTAAAATGCAGGCAAAACTCAACTTCTGTAACAAGACTGAAGTCCAGAAGTGGATGAACAACCAGAACTTTGTATCAGTTTTGCTGCTTGAGAACATTAAAAAGAAGAAGATATAACAGAGACTACTCAGTAATGCTTCCTCTTTGGTAAATAAGATAGAGGCATGAGATGATAAAAAGAGGGCAGGGCCTTTCTCTGTTTTATTTTTGTCATTTGCATCTTCAAGTCATTGCAATGTGGTATTGGCCATTATTTCTGTTCAAGGCTGTTTGTCACTTGACGAATCGATAATTAATTTTATTGTTGGGTACGTTCTTACAGGCTGAAATCAATAGCTTCTACAAACAGCACAATATTATTGTGAAGAGAGGACAGAGACCAATTCCTGTGTCACATTTCCATGAAGCAAATTTTCCAGGTGAGAGATAATTTATTTTGTATCCTTTATGATCTCATTAATTTGTACGTCCTTCTGTTTACTTCTTTCTGAGTGCCAATCAGTACGTGTCAGTTTTTTTATGTTATATATTTATTTGATGATAAGCATTGTAATTCTCCTAACTAAATTGAGGGATGCATTCCGTGGAAGTCTAATCAGGTCAATGAGTGCCTGCAGAAGTCAGATGTGGCAACTGTAAAGCGCAAATATCGCAGCCATGCTGTTAATGGATACAGCGCAATCACATCTTTGGATATACGAGAGGAAAACAAGAATAGTCGCACTGCCTCAACAAGCTGTTGTAGGAGTTGACTAATCCGGGACTTCCTTTGAAGTTGGAGTGCATCTGCCCGAGAGGCAAGGAATAACCAACTGCACACAAATAAGCCAGTAAACTGAAAGTGCATGCAAAACTCAGGCCCTGGCACAAAGTCAAAGTTAAAATGGATGAATAACAAGGACTTTTCCACAGGAGCTTACAGCTGGCGAACGAAGAAGAAAAGGAGGCTGTACGCAAAAGAAGTTGAATTCCCCGTGTGGGTTCCGGGGGCTTTATTGTAGAAGAACAATAAATAGACCTACTGCCCCCTGACAAGCGTGTTGTAGAAGTTGACTAGGGGGCGTTCCTTTGAAAGAGGTGAGGAACCAACAGTCTGCTTATACATAAGCTCGGTTCATAAATTGGATGTGCCTGGAACAAGATGTACTGTCCGGAAGTTGACATTCAGCCAAAGTTTACAGCCGGTGAACGCTAAGAAACAACACTACATAGTGAAGACTCAGTCTCTTGTATCAGTCGTATTACTTTTCCCTATGTAATAAAGGAAAGGAGCCTTTTTGACAACTTCAGGCATGTCAAGCGAAAAGGGCTAGACCTATTTTGTATAAACCAGTCAGCGCTTGGTAGGGGATGTGCTCAGCATCACGTCAGCGGCCTTTACTGTTTTTACTTCAAATCAGGGCCCACACCCATCCGATCCATAGTGTAAAAGTATTACCAACAGGAAAAGAGACCAATCTTTAAAAAAAATCTAAATTTTTTCAATTCCCAGAGGAGATAAATAAGCAGCTGGAGAAAAATGGCTGGGCACAACCAACACCCATACAGAGTCTAGGATGGCCACTAGCTCTGTCTGGAAAAAACATGGTGGGGATAGCACAGACTGGCTCTGGAAAAACTTTAGGGGTATGTATGATATGTTTAGTGTTTTTAAAAAAAAATATATATGACATCAGCTTTATTTACAACTCCCTATCCTGTAGTGGGTCCTTTGCAAAACATCACTTTGGTCATTGTCTTCTTGAGAGAAAATCAGTTGCTAGCCAGCTGTCCCTCCTTATGCTCTTTCCCACCCAAGTTGTTACTTACATCATGTGCCCATCGTCATGCTGGCGGACCCCTGCACCTCTTTCCTAGTACCATGCCTATAGCTGGTTTTTTTTTATCCCAGTCGCCAGTTTCGCTTGATACTTACCCATAAACTTGATTTTCGGGTCTTTTACGGTATCATTGTTTTTTTCTTCCCCCTCCCCTCCCAGCATCTCTCAATAAAATTTCAGCTCAACACCCCCATTTTCGTTCTTAAGGATTTCAAGATAGTCTACAACTCACATCTGTATATTGCTGCAGGAAAAAAAGCTTGCTTTCAAAATTTTGACTTTTAAGGCTGTTTAATTTTTTGCATTGCTTTGGCTATCCTCCTCCTGAATTTATTAAACTACATTTGTAAATGTCATCATCCACAATTACTTGAAAAATCCATAAAACCCAGACTGTCATCCACATCTATGTTCCATAAAGAATTATATGGTTTCCTTAGAAACCAGATTTCTCATGTCATTTTGTAATGTTTCTTATGCTACTTATGTGTATGCTTCACATGTTTATATATCTGTGTGTAGGATCAATAAAGCGTTTTAATCACTTCAACAAAACAAAAGACAAAAAAATTGTTTCTATTGAAAGCATTTTATTTGTCTTTATGCAGCCTTATTAGCTCTTTCAGGACCACATATTTGTTCTGGGGGTTGGACAGCATCAATTTTTCACTGCAACATGACAAAGCTAAAACCTTCCTGAAGAAAAGGTATTGGCTGTATAGGGACAGATAGTATATCAAATTAAAAAGAGATAAGTGCAAAATAAATCTAAACTATTTAAATGACAGTATTACACCAAAATATTATCAAAATCACACAACATTTTGGTAGTCACATATGAAAATAATTTACGCAAAAAATTGTGTGCTTACCTTATTTTTTACTGGTTCAGCAACACTGCTGCCCATTTCTAAGAATACACATGCCTTCTCTGTTCAATTATGTATCAGCTAGTCTTTATTTGAAACAAATATTTTAAATCCTTTGGATGTTATGACCATTTTTATATGACATGTCAAGTTTCATAACTGAAATCGGGAAAGTATATGATCCAATTGAAAAATGTTGTTCAGACATCATCCATAAATCTATTTATCAACACAGGTTTGGCACATGGCTTTATCAATCATAATATCAAGACTATTGTCACTATCTGGCTGAGATTCAACAGCGACAGAGCAATTTAAACAGTTCTAGACCTTTTCATTTATCATTTGATATAGAGAAGAGAGTGATGCAAACAACATACCGACTTCAGAAAAAAAAATGACTTCCTGTTGCTAATCCTAGTTTTTCAAAACAATTCATACAAATTCGGTTTTCCCTGCAATTGGAACAAAATCAGAATGTCTGATTAACTGGTGAAAAGTCTACAAAGAGTTAACTATATATCCAGAATCAGAATGTCTGATTAACTGGTGAAAAGTCTACAAAGAGTTAACTATATATCCTGGTGTCATTTGAATTATACTGAAATCTATAAAAGGTTTGTTAAATATCATGTTTTTTTTTGTTTTTTTTTGAATTATGAAAGTAAAATGTATAACATAATTGTTAACTGTAGTGTTGCATCTTTCGAATTGTGATACGGAAATATATGATACAGTTGGTAACTGAATCCAAATGTAGCTATTCTCTCCATAACAGTTCTGCTTTTGTCTTTACAGTTTATTCTGCCAGGTCTTGTACATATTAAAAACCAGGCAAGGAGTACAAAAGGAGAAGGACCAATTGTGAGTATCTGGATGTGAACTTTGTACATGCATTAATTATGCTTGTTTTTAAAGTTGCTTTGTAAAATGAATTATCTTGCTCCACGTGTTGATTCTGTGGGCCCTGTTTGCACACACAATTAATAGACCCTTCCCTTTTCACACACACACACACACACACAAAAGGATGATGTGAAAGGTAAAAGTTGACTAATTAGTGGGTTTGTTAAAATTTCATGTGTGGACCAAAGGGTGCAGATATTGCAGCCCAGCTGTAAACCACACAGACCCCCCCTCCTTTTTTTTTTTTGGGCCACATGGGTGAATGCAGAAGAAGAAAGAGCATGCTTACTGATTTGTAAAAATTAAAAAATAAGTAGTGTGTATTTGTAGTTTGTGATTGTACATGTTGGATTCTAATGGATCATTCATTGAAAGGTTTCTTTATTTATTTTTCTACTTTTTTTTTCAATCCTTTCATCTCGGAAACCCTTTGGAGAAAACCCAGGAATTCTTTGAGTGAAGAAAAAAGCCCAAATAATTTTAGGCTGGGTAAACCTGGAAACCAAGGTATTTTTAAAAAGTTACTCCCTTAGGACCCAGAGATTGCATACAAGCATCTGGCCGTTATACTATCTATGGTGGCTCTTATTTGTTAACTTAGAAGAAAATTGGTGATCATGTTCTCCTTTTCCCATTTTGTTTCCTGTTTCTATCACTGTATCTCTCTTATTATTACCCCCTCACTCTCTTTCTCTCTCTCTCTCTGTGGTATGAGGTGGAAATATCTCATTGTTTTCTGCCAGGTACTGGTTATTGCACCGACTCGAGAACTGGCCCAACAGATCAAAAGTGTGGCCATTGAGTACGGCCGGGTCCTTGGTATCAAATCCTGCTGTTTGTTTGGTGGCCAGTCAAAATCTGTTCAGGCTTCGTATATTTCAGAAGGTGAGTGGTTGTGCAGGTTAGAAAGCATTCAATTTGTTGTGCTGTGTGAATGCATTGTGTGATTGTTGAGTTAAGAATTAACATCACAGCACTCAGGGCTTATTTAAAAGTGCTACAATGGCTATATTCAGAAGTACGATAGACATGGCCAATGAGACACCTTTTTCTGGGGGTGCCTAGTTGACCATGTATCTTAGTGCACTTGTATTCATGGCGAGGCGCAGACGCCGTCTGGAGGTGACAGGTTCAATTCTCGGCACGGTAACTATAGCTTTCGTTTTTTATGTTGTCTAGTGTGTTCTTCTATCTTTCTACTTCTTTCTGAGTGCCGTTCACAATACTTTCTGTACTTGATTATATTCAGAAGCGCAGAGTTCCACTTCCGACTGCACCAGTGATGATTTGATTGTAAATCTATCTCACTTTTCCTTTGAGTGGCGGCCAGATCCTCTGGTCACACTTGCAGCACCTTTCTCAGACTATGATGTTTGTACCTACGCAGTGTTCACTCGCAGCAAAAGGACCCTTACAACATCTAGCATTCCATGCATCATTTCATCACCCAAGTGGTACAGTGTGTCTGCATGTTCGTTTTCCACCACGACAGTATACCTGGAGAAAGTATCCAAAGGACGCTAACTACCTGTAACCTGTTAAGCGAAGCTTGCTACTGTCTCTCCCTTTCTCTGCATGCGTATAGGAGGGCCCTAGGAAGGGTAGGGTTCCTATACAGGAGGTATCTTCAGTCTATAAGTGTGGCTCACTAGAAGTATGGTACTTCATTGTCTACAAGGGTAGAGAGACCGAGATATTGCTCCTGGGACAGAGGACAGGAAGATAAGGCTACCCCGCTCCGATGGGTGGTGCTAGGCAGACTAGTTATCCTGGTGGCAACTCCTCTGCCACTTTTAAAGAAAGAGCCCCCAGAGAAAGAAAGCGAAGAATGCCCCTTTCTCGCTCACTCAACTATTACTCACGCACAGCAACAAAGACAGACGAGAATAGTAGTGAATGAAGAATGATGTCGCTTTAATTTTACTGACAGCTGACTGGCTAAAAATTGACAGTGGTTTGGTGTTTGATTTTAAACCAAATGGTTATCATCATAAGAGAAATGTCTACTGGGTCCAGTTCCTTCCCCGCACGAGTACAGCTCACCCGTGGATACTCCCAAAGGCTGGACTTGATGGGGAAACCGGAACACTTGGCTTCTTGTAGATCTTATTTCTTGTGATATCCTCTTGTAGATAATCCACCGCTGATGTTCTTAAAGTTCAGATACGACACGTGGTCGTTTAGAAAATTCGACACGTGGTCGGTTACAATTACGACTAGTAGTCGGTTATGAATACTGGGATTAAATCCCTTAAACTGTCTCTTTGTCTGTGCCGATTCTATGGCGACATGACAATGGGTACAATTGTGTACTAATCGTTGAGTCCTTGGTGTTATGAAAAATGCCGCAGGGCTGGGGGAAGATAGTAAAAGCCCTGATAAGCGTGTGCAAAAAGGGAACACGTGGTTTCCCGAATTTGCTGGTTCTCTGGGCTCTTCAGAATTTATTAACTGAATTAAATATTAATATAATTCAGTTACGATGGTTTACAAAGTACACCGCATTTAAATATTAGCTTCAGCACTAACTAGTAAAGGTAAGGTTAAACGCACGTGGCCATATATATTTTTATATCGGTTACCTCTAGAACTCCAGCCAGCAAATTCAGGGATAACAATTTTAATATAATGCTACATTAATAGTACACTTACAGAAGATTCACAATTAGAAAAAGAGTGCCAACTTACCCCCTCAGATCGGTCAGAAATCACTACCGTAATCCAGAACGAATTAATATAGAACTACACTCGCTAATCTGATACTGAACTTGAAAAACTACGATCATCACTCGACCACGTTTGGAACTGCAAAGACCGGAAGATGGCGGCTTCCGCTCAAAATGGACGACCCACGTGACGCCAGCCATGCGCATGCGCCAAAAAGATAAAGCGCCCTCTGGTACGTTCTATGATTGGTCGAACAGGGCACTTTGATTGGTTGCAAAACTAGTAATCCATGAGTTAAATGTAACTAGCCCTATCCGGTTTTTAGCGGAAAGTATTAGGGGAAGGCCGGTTGCTAGGCGACGCGAAAATCTCATCGAAGTTGTGTAAGCACTCGCATCCTCTAACTTCTAATATATATATAGCTTCTGCCCTAAACTATAAGGTAACTAGGGGAGCGTCAGTGGTCATTGCCAGTACTGTCACATAGGCCCCCCGTAAAAAAAAAAGTTCTGGGATCCAAACTTTTTAGAGACTAAGATGACCATCTGGCGTATCTCCTTCATCTGGGTTAGCTTGATCATTCTCCTCTTCTGGAGGGTGACGACTCAGGAAATCTGCTCCTACATTCTCTTTCCCCGGAATGTACTCTACTGTAAAAGTGTAGGGTTGGAGTAACAGTGACCATCTCATCAGCCTAGTGTTGAGCTTCTTAGATGCCGCTAGAAACATCAGAGGCTGGTGGTCACTCTGTACTTTAAATTTCGTTCCGTACAAGAATGGCTGGAATTTCTGCACTGCCCATACTAGGGATAAACACTCTTTCTCAATGGTTGAATAATTTCTTTCAGCACCGTTAAGCTTCCGGCTGGCATATGCTATCGGAAACAACATGGATGGTTCTTCTCTACCTTCCTGGAGTAGGGTCGCTCCTATTCCTATATTACTGGCATCAGTCCTCAACGTAAAGGTTTTAGTGAGGTCCGGGAGCTGAAGAATAGGTTTGGAGGTTAGCTTTTTCTTGAGGCTAGCATAGGCTGTTTCACAGTCAGCTGACCAACGCACCATCTCTGGGGCTCCCTTTTTTGTAGCATCTGTAAGTGGGGAGGCTATCGTGTTAAAGTCTTGTATGTACTTTTGATAGAACCCACACAGAGATACAAAGGACCGCACATCCTTCTTAGTTTTTGGTCTAGGTGCCTTGTGCAACTTATCCACGTTCTTTTGTTCAGGGCACATATATCCCCTGTGATATGGTGTGTCCCAGAAATTCTAGTTGTCCAAAAGCCAGTTTACATTTAGAAGGCCTGGCTGTTAACCCCACTTCTGCAAGCCTTCCTAGCAAAGTGTCGAGAGTGTTGAGGTGTTCTTCAAAATGCTCTGACGCGATGAGGATGTCATCCATAAAATGTTGTAGCGTTGGCCGTTTTAATGGGCCTAACAGCATTCTCATCATGCGGGTAAACACACTAGGTGCATTGCTAAGGCCGAATGGTAAGACGTTGAACTCATAGTGCCCCTGAGGGGTGCTGAATGCTAAATAAGGGCGAACTTCTTTCTTTACTGGGATCTGATAGTACCCCTTACTGAGGTCTATCTTGGAAAAGTACTTAGCTTTACTAAGTCTAGAAAATAGTTGTCCTTGGTCAGGTAGGGGTTCAGGTTGGAATTCCGTCACCCCATTTAGTTGCCTGTAGTCAATGCAAAGCCGATGCTCCCCACTAGGTTTCCTTAGGAGCACAACACTAGCACTATAAGGTGATTCAGAAGGGGAGATAATTCCTTCTTGCAAAAGGTGAGCAATCTCAGCCTGGAGGGCTTCCTCCTTAGCATAAGGTATAGGATAACACCTCTGTCTGACCGGTTCCGTACTGGTCAGTTTCATGTCAAACTCGACCAGACTTGTGCGACCCGGTTTGTCTGTGAGCACTGCTGAGTGTGCAGTTAAGACCTCTCTTATTCTTTGTTGTTGCGAATCCAACAGGATGGGGTTTATTTCCACGTCCTGAGCTGTTTCTCGAGGTTGTAACGGGTACTCGACCCCTGCAGCCTCTCCACATTCGACCTCCGTAGCTACCGCAAGTGTCATCAAATGCACCGGGGTAGTTTCTGTTCTTTCGAAATACTTTCGAAGCAGGTTTATGTGTGAAAGACTTTCAGTTTTCCTCTTTTGGAGATCTTATAATTGGTGCGGGACACCTTCTCCACAACCGAGTAGGGCCCTTGCCAACCAATCTCCAGTTTATTGCTGCCACTTGGCAAAAGTAACATGACCTTGTCTCCTGGTTCCAGGAAACGGTCCTTGGCTTTCCTATTATAAAGGGCAGCATGTTTCTTGCGGGCGGCTTTCACATTTGACGTTGCCAGTTTCCAACCCATTTCCAACTTTCCTTTCAGTTCCTCCACATACTTGGAGGCTGTCACTACAGTCTCTTCCGCCTTCTCTTCAGTCCACGTCCTCATTAGGGCTTCCAAGGGCCCCTTAATAGGTCGTCCGAATAGAAGAGTAGCAGGTGGGATTCCCGTAGATCCATGGGGTACCTCCCTGTAGGCGAATAAAGCCGCTGGTAGGTACTCATCCCAAACCTCTGGTTTTTCCTGAGCTAACTTCCTCAGGATCGTCATTAAGGTTCCGTTAAATCTTTCCACCTGGCCGTTTGACTGTGGGTGATATGGACTAGTGTGGATATGCCGGGTTTGTAGAATCTGGAAGACTTCTCCCATCAGTTTCCCTCGGAACTGTGAGCCGTTGTCTGTCAAAATTTGATTGGGAAATCCCAATCTTGTGAAAATGGTCACGAGTGCTTCCGCTACTCGCTTTGAATCGATAGCGGGTAGGGCAATCGCCTCCCCCCACATCGAACAGGTATCCACCAAAGTTAAAATAAAGGAATTTCTTTTCTTGGTGCGAGGGAGTGGACCGACTATGTCGACTGCCACTCTCTCAAATGGAGTGTTCATCAATGGCATGTCACCTAAAGTTACTGGAACTGTCCAATGCCTGGGAGCTACCCTTTGGCATTCTGGACATGACTTTACATACCGCTTAATGTCCCCATTCATCCCCGGCCAGTAATAATGGCAGGCGATACGTTGCTGTGTAGCCCCAATCCCCATATGTCCAGAGAATGGGATAGTATGTCCCATGTGCAAGATTTGCGTCCGGTAGGGGGAAGGTACAACAAGTTGACCAAACTCGTCTCCATCTTTTCCTGCCCTACGGTACAGCAAATTACTTTTGACATAAAAAGTTTCCCTTACTAGGAGGGGTTTGGGCTTTGGGCAACTTTCCGTAGCAAGGTTGAAGAGTGTGGTCCTGTTTTTGGGCAGCCCTTATTTCACCCGGAAGGGGGTTTAAAGGTTGAACAGGCTCTAGGCTATCTTTAGCCTGAGACCTGGTCTGTACAGCCGCGAGAGCTATGGGAGTAGATGGTTCACTTAAATAAACATACCGACACCCTAGGATAAAAGGATAAATCGGATCATCTACCACAGCAGCGGATACAGTCCCAGTAACATACTTGGACTCCACTTCAACTAAAGCTATAGGCAAAGTCATAGTGGGGGAACTCTTGGTAGCCCCGCTGACTTTAATAGTGTCTCCAGTTAGCTGGCCAGGTTCTACCAGATATGATGCAATTAAACTGTCATACTGGAGGCCGGTATCATAGAGACAATCGACTCTCTGTCGGTTGACTGAGATCACTTCCACCACGGGTGGTCTCCTCGTAGTAGGGAAGAGTACACTAGGAGGCTTTTCAGCTGCCACACATGCCGCGTACTGAGGGGCAGGTTTTTTTCGGGCATTCGGCCGTGTAGTGGGTATTAACCTTGCAATATTTGCAGTATGGATTTCTCCACCCCGACGCTAGTTGCGGCTGGGGTTTTTGATTTTGATTATGTTGGGGTTTGGGCCCCTTTGCGGCATTTTTATAAGGTTGTACGGGTGTTTTCACCGGAGGTTTTTCAAAGGTGGGTTGGGGTTTGGGCTTAAAAGATACTTCCCCATGGGCTGCATGATAGCGTTCTGCAAGAGTAATCATGTCGTCTAAGCGTTCAGCCCCATTCTCTGTTAAGAAAGTCTGCATAGGTTTCGACATACACTCCCTCAGTTGCTCAGCCAGCACCATTTCTTCCAACCCATCGTATGAGTGATCATGACCCCCTAAAGTCATCCATTTTGAAAGATAGCTTTGGAGTCTACTCAGCAGTTGGCTAAACGATTCACCCGCTTGCCGTTGGGCTGTTCGAAACTTATGCCTATATGCTCCGGAGGTAAGCTCATATCTTTTGAGAAGTGCCTGCTTTAAGGCCTCAAAATCATTTTCCTGACCCCGAGGTAGCTGGTTGTAAACATCATAAGCAACTCCTCGAAGCCCCTGAGAAACCTTAAAGTTCCATTTCTCTTTTTCCAGCCCGTAGTTCTCAGCCATCTTTTGGAATTTCTCTAAGTAGGTGTCTATTTTATCTGCTTTTTCATCGAAGTGCATCAAGGGGAAGTTCAGGGCCCCCACAAGATTATTCTGAGATGAACCCTCAGGGCTAGGTAAAGAATAGTTGGGAATCGGTGAGGAGGGTATTGGGGCCTGTTCACGAAGTCTAATTTCATGTTGCCTTTCTTTATCTCTCTCTACCCTTTCCCTTTCTTTCTCTGCCTTTTCTTCTTCTCGAATTAAGGCTCTTTCCTTAGCCTCTGCTTCAGCCTTACCATACTCTCTTTCATCCACCCGGTATTCTCTATCTACATCTTGCATGTACCTTTTTAACTCTTCACCCTCGTGCCCCAGCTCTATTCCTATTTCCCTTATCTCAGCCATAGTTGGTCTTTTGAAAGGCATGACTATAGGTAGTGGCTTCTATCAATGACCTGAAGGGTAAGTTGTTTAGTAGGCAGAGTAGACAGAAAAACCAGATCAACGCAACAGAATCACTTAGCAGTTATGATTGACAGTTATAGTAGAACACCAAATAGTACTGTATGTATTATACACGTCACAACAGATACGTAACGTAACAACAACAGTATGTAACAAAACACCAGGTCTGGAACTGAACTACTTAAAATTTTGAATCATTTTACACAAACATTTTAAACCATCAATTTTTAGCTCAGTCTTATTAAACAGTTGTGCAGTACCTATAAAGCTATAGACTACTAGGAAATAGTCTCTGGTAAAATCCCGGACGAGCGTACCAGTTGTCACAACTATAGGAGGGCCCTAGGAAGGGTAGGGTTCCTATACAGGAGGTATCTTCAGTCTATAAGTGTGGCTCACTAGAAGTATGGTACTTCATTGTCTACAAGGGTAGAGAGACCGAGATATTGCTCCTGGGACAGAGGACAGGAAGATAAGGCTACCCCGCTCCGATGGGTGGTGCTAGGCAGACTAGTTATCCTGGTGGCAACTCCTCTGCCACTTTTAAAGAAAGAGCCCCCAGAGAAAGAAAGCGAAGAATGCCCCTTTCTCGCTCACTCAACTATTACTCACGCACAGCAACAAAGACAGACGAGAATAGTAGTGAATGAAGAATGATGTCGCTTTAATTTTACTGACAGCTGACTGGCTAAAAATTGACAGTGGTTTGGTGTTTGATTTTAAACCAAATGGTTATCATCATAAGAGAAATGTCTACTGGGTCCAGTTCCTTCCCCGCACGAGTACAGCTCACCCGTGGATACTCCCAAAGGCTGGACTTGATGGGGAAACCGGAACACTTGGCTTCTTGTAGATCTTATTTCTTGTGATATCCTCTTGTAGATAATCCACCGCTGATGTTCTTAAAGTTCAGATACGACACGTGGTCGTTTAGAAAATTCGACACGTGGTCGGTTACAATTACGACTAGTAGTCGGTTATGAATACTGGGATTAAATCCCTTAAACTGTCTCTTTGTCTGTGCCGATTCTATGGCGACATGACAATGGGTACAATTGTGTACTAATCGTTGAGTCCTTGGTGTTATGAAAAATGCCGCAGGGCTGGGGGAAGATAGTAAAAGCCCTGATAAGCGTGTGCAAAAAGGGAACACGTGGTTTCCCGAATTTGCTGGTTCTCTGGGCTCTTCAGAATTTATTAACTGAATTAAATATTAATATAATTCAGTTACGATGGTTTACAAAGTACACCGCATTTAAATATTAGCTTCAGCACTAACTAGTAAAGGTAAGGTTAAACGCACGTGGCCATATATATTTTTATATCGGTTACCTCTAGAACTCCAGCCAGCAAATTCAGGGATAACAATTTTAATATATAATGCTACATTAATAGTACACTTACAGAAGATTCACAATTAGAAAAAGAGTGCCAACTTACCCCCTCAGATCGGTCAGAAATCACTACCGTAATCCAGAACGAATTAATATAGAACTACACTCGCTAATCTGAATACTGAACTTGAAAAACTACCGATCATCACTCGACCACGTTTGGAACTGCAAAGACCGGAAGATGGCGGCTTCCGCTCAAAAATGGACGACCCACGTGACGCCAGCCATGCGCATGCGCCAAAAAGATAAAGCGCCCTCTGGTACGTTCTATTGATTGGTCGAACAGGGCACTTTGATTGGTTGCAAAACTAGTAATCCATGAGTTAAATGTAACTAGCCCTATCCGGTTTTTAGCGGAAAGTATTAGGGGAAGGCCGGTTGCTAGGCGACGCGAAAATCTCATCGAAGTTATGTAAGCACTCGCATCCTCTAACTTCTAATATATATATAGCTTCTGCCCTAAACTATAAGGTAACTAGGGGAGCGTCAGTGGTCATTGCCAGTACTGTCACACTAGACTCACTCAATACTCAAAAGGTCACTGTTGCATAAACTCCTGTTTCTCGGAATCTAATTACTTGTCATCTTCCTCTGTCCTCCTTTCCTGTCTATGTCCTTCCTTCCCAGATGTCTGTCCTCTATGTCATCCCTGTCTGTCTTTCCTCCTCCTCATGTAAACTCCTGAGGCCCCATTGTGAGGTGGAAAAAAAAGGAATAGACACCACACACCCGCTTCACAACAAGCATGTTGAAAAGGTCGACTTATTAGACTTATTATTTCTCCAAAGTCAGATTGCATCTGCCTGAGAGACAAGGAACTGACAGTCTGCATCCAGATCCCGAAAAAGGATTTGCATGCAAAACACAAACCCTGGAGCAGGGCTAATGTCTAGAAGTGGACAGACAACCAGAACCCTCCACCAGAGTTTACAGTTAGTGAACGCAAAGAAGAAATATTTGTTCCCTCTATCCTCCCTTCTTCGCAATGTCATCTCATTCCTTTCCCTCTCATTCCCTTGTCTCCCCCTATCTGTGGGGATATATAATGTCAGTTGAATGTCACACTCTACACATCATATGACTTTCAGGTCCAGAAATAGTAGTGGCTACTCCAGGCCGCCTTCTTGACTTTATGGACATGGGCGTTATCAATCTCGACCGTACATCATATGTTGTACTGGATGAGGCAGATCGTATGTTGGATATGGGATTTGAACCACAGATAAGAAAAGCTCTACAGCCATTAAGGGTGAGTGAGCCTTTAGAGTTATAAAGACATGCATTTTAAACTGTTTTTATACTTGAAATCTGGTGAAAATTATCATTATTGTCACATATCTTCTTTTTTCTTCAGTCCTTCATCAGTCAGTGGATTTTAGGTCCTTAACCAGTCATGTTAGATCATCCTCTCCTTTGCTATATTTAACAGATTACTCCATGTCCGTCCCATCTTTTTCATCTTGGTCCAATTTTCTTTACTGTTATTTTTTTTAAATCCCTATTTTTATCCGAGGGATTCAGTGCAAACACATTCTAGTATTATTATTATTAGGTTTCCTGAATATGAAAAAACAATGTGTAGAACAGTTTTTCAGTTGAAGTGCTACACACAAAAAATGCATAAAGTGCCATGGACCAAGAAGAAATAGATCACTGATATCCGACACAATCTGAACATTGAGGAGAATTGGTTTTTAAACAGCATCCTGTCCTAGAAGCGGAGGTGTTTTGGTCATGCTAAACATTATGATGGCCTGGGGAGAATGGTGATGGAGGGGACAGTTTTGGGAAAACAATAGGGGCGGACCTCTGTGAAGGTGGATACAAGACTTTGAAAATGCATTGGCTATGAAGGCATATAGGGCAGGAGAAAGAGACTTTCAGGTTTGCCGTGATGAGAGTGACATTCCGTAAGGGACCTACCTGTTGACTAATGAGTGTCCTGTCTTCTGCTCATCTCTTGATTGACTATAATATGTTTAGTTCTTTTCCAAACTTAGATTAACCGCCACCGTCCGTAGCAGGGCGGCGATGGATAACCAAAAAGACACATAACAGAAGTCTCTTAATCTGTACATAACATGATTTCACTGCAGGCTTGAATTGAAAATGAAAATTGAATCCGTTAAAAGTGAATAAAACACACACGTATTTAATTTTACACAGCGTCAAAGATAAAGTTTAATATAAGATTAATTATGTACAGAAATGTAATATTGTAAACTTACATTACTTTAAAATTATTTGTCATCTTCTCGGGTTTTCTGCGCAGTGATGTTTTCTATATTACGCAGACGTAGGATCTGTGTTGCATTTGTCTTCTCTTGCATTTCAAACCAGTCGAAGAGCTTTGATAACATTGTTTCTGCTTTTGAGTGGCTAGTTGTAGGTTTTTTGGTTGAGAACTGATCCTTCATGTTTATTGAAGTTTTACTGTACTGCCGTGCTATTTAATTCCCTCTGTTCTGTACAGGCAACACTCCAGGGCCCCATTGTGGGGAAAACAAGAGTAGCTCCACTGGCTCGACTTAAGAGTTGGCTAATTGGGAGCTTCCTTCAGAGTGCATCTGCTTGAGAGGGAAGGAACCAACCATCTGCAAATAAGTCGGATCTGTAAAATGTGTGCACACAACACTCAGGTTCTGGAACAAAGCTAAATTTCAGAGGCGGATGGACAATCAGAACTTTCTGCTGGAGTTTAATACCAGTGTACGCAGAAAAAAAAAAGAAATTTCTTGTGACAGACCAAAGTTCTCATAAACATATGTGATTTATATACATATGTAATTTAAACCCCCCAAAAAACATACTGAAAACATACTGAGCTTTTCTTTAAATTAATTGATATCATATACTTAATACATTATTACCCTTCATGTCTCACAGCCTGATCGGCAGATGTTGATGTGGAGTGCCACCTGGCCACAGGATATTCAACAGCTAGCTCACGATTTCCTGGGAGAGTTCACACAGGTCAATATTGGTTCTGTGAACCTGATGGCCAACCCCAACATTCTACAGAAAGTTCATGTTTGTGAGAGAAGGGAAAAACTTAATTTGTAAGTATTGTCATCTTGTTTTTACTTATCCCATGTTCATTTGTTTTACGTACGGATGGCTATTAAAAAAATGGGATGAGTTCAAGAGGAGTGGAGAAATAACATCAATGTCTGGACAGCCACTGGTAACAACAGTTTTAAGACAAAGAAGCTGGTGCTATAATGGACAGATCCTCAAAAAGAAATGAGCAGAGAATCAGCAGACAGGCACTAAAATGGGAAATAAAGGGATTTAGGAATCGAAGATTATAAAAGAAAGGCCAAAACAGAGACGCTAGAAGGACTGGTCAGGTTTCCATCCATATTCAAGGGATTGCACAGGATAGAGCAGAATGGAAGAATAGATCTCAAGACCTATGTAACATATAAGGGCACACCAGGACAATGACGATGATAAGTTTGTCATTGCTTTCTGTAGGGTTGGAAGCTTATCATCATCAAGTGCTTTGCTAGCTGGCATAGGGACATTCATGCATCTCCACAGATCTCGGTCTTTGGTGTTCTGAATCAATTTCGCTGATGATATTCCTCCATGCCACTATCATAAGCCATCCACCATCATTTCTGTTGGTCTTTCTCTGCCTCTTCTACCAGTGAACTTTTCTGTCGTCTTATTTTCCAGTGCCCCTTTACTCAACCACGTGACCAAAGAACTTTGCTTGTCTCTTCATTGTTGTATATCATTTTCTACCATTATTAGCCATTTCCATACATTCATTGTTTGTTATTCTGGCATTCCAAAGTATATTTAACATTCTTCTGAAGAACTACATCTCTGATGCCTCCAAACTCTTTATTATTTGTTTGCTCACATTCCAAGATTCACTGCCATACAACAGAACAGGCTGGGTGTAACATTTCAGTGCTCATTTTCTGATGTTAAGTGGGTGATTTATTATCTTCTGAAATGCTGCCTTTGCCTCGCCAATTCTGCTCTTCATTTCTGTCACATTGTCCATCTGATGTTATAAATAAACCCAAATACTTGAATTTATTGACTTGGTTAAGCACTTTCCCTTCATTGCTATGTCACATTTTGGGGATGTCTTCTTCTTTGATGTAACCATTGACTTGACATTCAGGGGAAGTCTATTTTTTGCACTCTCTAGTACCACAATGTCTAATAGTTGTTATAGGTCTTCTGTGTTTTCAGCTATTATTGCTGTATCATCTGCATAATGAAGATTGTTTATAGTACGAGGCAAAGTTAATAAGTCACAAATGGTTATGGGATGGCAGGAAAATGTCTAAAGGTATCATTAGATGACAGCAACATAGAACTATGTTTCCATTTGTTAGGTGGCACTAGGTGTTGCATGTGCATACACAACACAGAAAGAAAATTCTGACTACTTACGGAGTGTACTCTCAAAGAACTGTGTGCGGTTTTCTGTTTATTTTTTGTTTGTTTGGCAAATGACATTTTAAAGGAAATGCATCCTGTTTATGCCTACAAATGTTTATTCCGTAAAGTGGTGTATAGCTGGGTAGAATTTTTTTTCTCAAGGATGCGGTTGACTCTGTAGCAGCTGCAATAGGGTGCTCACATTGTTCAGCATACAACATAATGCATGATCGATTGAATTTTTTTTAGTCCACTGAAACTTTTGTGGGAGACATTTAGCGAGTGGCGCAGAAATTGAAGGTGAAGTGAATATATGGTTTAGAAAACAGAGCATGCAGCTCTGTGCAGCAGGTTGGAGAGGACTATAAAACGATGGGATAAGTGCATCAGTGTTGGTGAAAATTATGTTGGGAAAAAAAAAGGGACAGTGTGCGTGTTTAAAAAAACTGGTTTTAAAGTTATCTGTTTTTTTTAAAACAACCATTAATGACTAACTTATTGACCCGCCTCGTACACCCTCCAGCTAGTATTCCTGGTCTATTTCTTGACCTTTCTCATTATTTCACTATAGAAGAGATCTGGTGGCAAAGCACATCCTTGTTTCACTCCTTGCTTTGTTCTCAACTGCCTACTTTATTTCACAATATAACATTTATTTTCCCTTATACCAATATTAAGACCATTGCAGGGTAGCCTAATGTAGATACAGATTTCACATACCACATGTTAAGTTTATAAAACGATATAGTGGACTACCCTAGAGTTACACAGTACCCTGCAGTCCTGTTTGGGCCGGGGATGCAGAGCTGTTAAACTGCACCTGGTGTTACGCCAGGACCAGGGTTCATACTTGTCAAGAACCACCAGTACTTTCCTACCCGGGATCTGGCCAGCATAAATTGGTTCAACATTTCCTTTGAAGCATGTCATAAAAGGCGAACTAATTTGCCCTCTAAAGTCGAAACACATCTGCCTGCATGCGAGGAACAAACAGCTTGCATACAATTAAGCCAGATCTGTAAAATTGATGTGCATGCACGATCAATCCCGACTTTCTGCTAGAGTTTACAGCCAGTGAAGACAAAGAAGAAGTTTGGATTATGGTTGTTATTTTGTGCATGGAGACAAGAATATAGAGCAGAAGCTTCTAGAAGTGATGAACTCCAGTGTTTTGTGTGTGTTTTGTTTGTTTGTTTTAGATTGATAAATGAACTAGAGCTGGCAAGTGCAGATGGAAAGCAGAAGACTTTGATATTTGCCCAGACAAAGATGCAGGCAGACTTCCTGACACAGATGCTGCAGAAGAGAATGTAAGAATTGTGTTAAAACTTTTGTGGCAACATGTACTACTGGTAACTTAATACAAAGCAAAATGCTGTTTGATGAAGGGAGTGTGTTTGCCCATTTGTCCTGAAATCCCTCTCTGTAGTTAGCTAGTTCACAAGTTTTCTTCACTCTGTAATCTCTGACTTCTACAGAATGTGAGCTTCTTGTGTTTTATACTAATAAAGGACCCTTTTCTGCATCTTTGGGCATATAGGGCTAGACTTATACTTTATAGACCAGTTGGCACTCGGTGGGTGATTTGGTCAGCATCTCTCTGACCACCTTTACTTCCCAGAACTTTACCTGGTGCCCATTTAAGGCGGTATTGGGGCCAAGCTCATTTTTTTCCCCAACCTGCAACCTTTGGATCGGCAGGTGAGCGGCTAGCCACTACACCACAGCGGCTTCCTTTATACTAATTGTTAATGTTAGGTGCGTATCCTTTACAGGACCAAACCAAACAGCCCCTGGCTGGTATGTGGTTTTTCTAAACAAATTTACGTCCAGTAGTTTGCCATTGCTTTCTGGACAGTTGGCTTCTTTGATACCACTGTCCAAAGCAACGCAAGGCGCATGGCCTGCAGCTGGGATCGCTCCTGGCATTACGAAGTGTTCGTAGTGACTTAGCCACAGAGCCGACTATACTAATAGTAGAAGGCTTAAATTAATAGCCGGTCCATGTTTCTTTTAGAGGCTTTATGTGACTAATCTGCCGGTAAATGTAGCAAGGAACCTTTACCAGGAAATGTTTTAATGAACCTTTTTTCCTCTGATTTTAACAATATGCAAACAGAAATGCTCCCGGTATTAGCCTAGAAAAGACTTAGGTCTAATCTTTTTTTAAATTTTTTTCGAGAAGTGTTTTTCTTGGGCATTGTTCTGGTTGTTTGTCCACTTCTGGGCTTTAGTCTTGGTACAATGCTTGATTTTTGTGTGCAAATCCATTGGACAGATCTGGCTTTTTTGTATGCATTCTGTTGGCTCCTCGCCTGCCCAGAGGGTCACATAAAGAATTGACTTCATAGCTCTGGCAATGATCACCAGGGATCTCTGTAAAAAATTGCTTCCGTGAACTAAATGCCGCCGCCTTGAAACAAACCCATAACCTTTACAACCTTAGGCAAATCTTTCTCTCTCTCTCTCTCTCTCTCTCTCTCTCTCTCTCTCTCTCTCTCTCTCTCTCTCTCTCTCTCTCTCCCTCTCTCCCCCTCTCTCTCTCCTCCCTCTCTCTTTCTCTCCCTCTCTCTCTCTTTCTCTCTCTTTCTTTCTCTCTCTCTCTCTCTCTTTTTCTCTCTCTCTCTTGCCTCAAGAAAAGTCTTCCATAGTGTGAACATGGGACCTCAGATCCGTTGTCTTTTCTTATAGGTTCTGGAACCCCATTTAGGGGGGGGGGGGGAGAATAGACTTAGTCCCGTTCCCCCCAACAAACATGTCACAAAAGTTGACTAGTTAGGATGGTACCCTTTGGGATCGGAGTGCATCTCAGAGGCAAGGAACCAACAGTCTGTGTAAGGATAAGTTAGGTCTGTAAAGTGGATGTGCACACAAAACTCAAGTTCTGGAACGAGACTAAAGTACAGAAGTGGACGAGCTGCCATAACTTTTCTCTGGAGTTTACAGCCAATTAACATGAAGAAGAAGATGGCGGCCAGTAACAGATGAAAAAATAAATTCTTGATAACTTACGCTATTTGTGACTCATGGTGTCTTGTGCAGGTTCAAGGCAGTAGCAATACACGGAGACAAGTCTCAGGTGGTGAGGGACAGGACTCTGCAGAGTAAGTTACTTCACTACTTCAGTCTTCTGACCCTTTTCATTGTTGTGAAAAAATATCAAACCAAATCAAAAGTAGGACTGGTCAGCTTGACATTGTCACATTCACAAGAAAACTGTTGCAACTAAAAAAGCTTTATTAGCACATTACATAAATAGACAGTGGCATGACTGGAGTATCTACAAGAGAAGTCCACATGTCTGTCTGGCGACTGAAAGCTCAGAGTTGCCTGTAAACACAGACAACAAATACAAGCTAGAAAACACCCGTCTTTCACACTGCAGCTGCATTTTATCAATAAGCATGTTATATTCATATGATAACTCACAAATATTGGATACAACTATTGGGCGTTATGTCCCCTAGGCAAGATCTTTCATTACCAGACAGCTCATTATACAGTCTTTGAGTACTCTGACTATTGTATTTGTTTATTAACTTCTTTCATCCTGTCCTTCTGTTATTGTTACTCATTGTGTTCCACTTCTTACTTTAGCTCTGTCTCATAATCATGTTGTTTAACTCGTAAAGACTCAATATATTGTAGTAATAACTGGCTGTGGCTGAAACAGATAGCATTCTTTATCTTTCTTTATCTTCTTCTGCAACAGAAGAACTCAGCCAACCTATTGTGAGATGTCATTTGCCATCTTCTATAGCAGGGCTTTTCAGCTAGAGGTCCGAGGGTTAAACTTGACCTACAAAAGAGGCCTAGCAAGTGGCTCCCAGATCATTGTTAGTTGTATTCATTATTTTTTCTTCTTTTTTTTTTACAGTGTGTCACAACCCCATTGAGATTCAAATTTTCAGCATTTTTGCCTTGTGGAAACTAATAGCCCTGTCCTATAGTATACTCTTGTGTCCTTCCATTTTCCTGTCACATTATTCTGTCTTCTTCCCCTTCAGAGCATTCACTAAGTGTACATTCCTGCAGAAAGTTCTGGTAATTTGTCCACCTCTAGACTTTGGTCTTATTCTATAACTTCGCATGCACAGATCAAGCTTATTTATATGCAGACTGTGGGTTCCTTGCCTCTCAGGCAGATGCACATCAACTTTAGAGGAACCACTCTTAATTAATCACTTTTTGTTGCATATAGGTTCCGGGGCCCTATTGATTCCAGGGAAAAAGTAAATCCTCTCCAACGAGCAATGTCATAAAAGTCTACTAATTGAAGTTAGAGTTCATCTTTTCAACATGCAAAACTTGGACCCTGGCACAAAGCCAAAGTCCAGATGAATGAACAACCAGGACTTTCTGCCAGAGTGTACAGTCAGTGAACAAAGAAGAAAAAGCCACCTTTTGTGACCAGCTTGTTAGGACTGCCACCCTTCTCTTCCATGTAATCTTGAAAACCTACTCAAGGAATTTTGTGTTGATTGTTACAGATTTGAGTGAAAGAGGTTTTCTATCATTTTGCTAAACCTTTGCTTCACTCACATCATATCCTTTGCGGATTTATTCTGTGTTTCTCTGCAGGTTTTAAAAAGGGAGAAGTAGACATTCTTGTGGCCACTGATGTTGCATCAAGAGGGCTAGGTAAGACACCATTTTTATTGTGACTTGTATAGCTTCATTGGAATGAATATTTTAATGTTTCAAAGACTTAAACATTTTTTGTTGTTGTAACTTAGTAACTTTGGGGATGTGTCCATTGCAGGAATCCACAACCTTTAAAGTGTGAAGTAAGTGGAACAAAGGAGAAACAACACACCAATTCATCATCGTTACCAGAATTCAAATCACATATCAAGGGGAAACACTTGGACATGTGGAAAGGACATGCCAACAATAAACATTCACAAGTCCCCTTATCAACACACTTAACAGAAAAGAACATGCATCAACTTTCTGACTTAACAGGATACTGCAGGCTCAACTACCACAGGCGTAAAATAAAGACTACAGTCCCCACAGTGCACATGTCAGAGGGGAACCATAAACACCTGAGCACATTCTGCAGGCCTACCCACTTTACTTGACCTACGAAGAGAAACTTGGCCTCAAGAGCAGAGTGTGCAGAGCAGGCTAAGGGGAACCCACCTGATGTTCTGACCTGAGCATTTGAAGCCAAACGCCAGGAAGAAGAAGAATATTCTGGAGATGCAACCTAGTTTTAAAATGTGTTATTTTCAGATGTCAACGATATCAAGCTTGTAATCAACTATGACTACCCAAACAACGCAGATGATTATATCCATCGCATTGGTAGGACTGGCAGAGCATCGAAAACTGGCACAGCCGTGACATTTGTCACCAGTGAGGATACTGGGAAGGTTAGTTAGCTTCTAAAAGTTTCTGTCTCTGTAACTGTATAATCATTTATTAACCTTTTTGCTTCAGGACTGTCATCTTTGAGCATCAACTCATTGATGCTGTATTATTGCTCTAGGGCCACCATCACTGAAGCATTAGCTCTTGTTGAACTTGATACCTTCTTGTTATTCTAGCGCTACCAGAACCGCTGTACCGCTTTTCCGGTAATTTTCGAATCTGCCGCTAAACCGCTGTAGCTAATTTTCTGTACTTTGTGTACTACTTGAAAAAAAATGCGTCAAAAACTAAAAACTAACCAACCAATCATTTTTAAACCTTGTAGTTAGTTAGTCAGTACAGATGGCTTCCTCCACGTGTTTAGATTACTTTGTATGGTTTAACTTGCAAAAATTATGAAAATTCACAATGAAATGAGCAGCTAATGAACCAAGCACTTCGACAGAAAAGTGAAGTAGGTCTAGGTTTTTTTTTACAGCTCAACAGGAGATCGATACTTTGGTTGATTAATTTTATGAGGAGTCAGAATTTCATCAAGAATACGTTCCCAGTTCAAGTGATACAGACAGTGAGAGCTCGAGTGATGAGAAGAATGTTAAACCTTATAAGTCTAGAACTAGATCGAAAGTAAGAAAAAGTGGTGTGTCCCTCGAACAGCAACATCTAATGCTCACTTTGTGAAACTAGGCTCATCCTGCTGGGTGGATTGGCACACAGAGGTGGAATAATAGTGCTAGTTGAAAGGTAAACCTTTTTTCTACAATGTCTCCTAAGTTTTCTCTTATTCTGATGACTTGTTTGCATGTAACTAATATTTTTTTATATCATGTTGGTTTTTTCGCATTAGTGCCCAGCATCTCAGGTATAGGAGACAGTTATGTTCAGGGCCTTAGGTCTGGTAGGGCTAGAACCACCGTCGCTGAGCATTAATTCCTATTGAACTTGTTGCATTCTCATTGTTCTAGTATCTCATCACTGAACATCATTTCCTATAAAACTTGACACCTTCTTGTTGTTCTAGTACCACCATCTATGAGCAATAATTCCCATTGAACTTGTTGCATTCTTATTGTTCTAGTATCACATCACTAAACATCAGTTCCTTTTGAACCTGTTGCATTCTTATTGTTCTAGTATCACATCACTCACTAAACATCAGTTCCTTTTGAACATGTTGCATTCTAGTACCACCATTTATGAGCATTAATTCCTAATGAACTTGTTGCATTCTTATTGTTCTAGTATCACATCACTAAACATCAGCTTATTGAACCTGTTGCATTCTAATTGTTCTAGTATCACATCACTAAACATCAGCTTATTGAACCTGTTGCATTCTAATTGTTCTAGGATCACATCACTAAACATCAGTTCCTTTTGAACCTGTTGCATTCTTATTGTTCTAGTATCACATCACTCACTAAACATCAGTTCCTTTTGAACATGTTGCATTCTAGTACCACCATTTATGAGCATTAATTCCTAATGAACTTGTTGCATTCTTATTGTTCTAGTATCACATCACTAAACATCAGCTTATTGAACCTGTTGCATTCTAATTGTTCTAGTATCACATCACTAAACATCAGCTTATTGAACCTGTTGCATTCTAATTGTTCTAGGATCACATCACTAAACATCAGCTTATTGAACCTGTTGCATTCTAATTGTTCTAGTATCACATCACTAAACATCAGCTTATTGAACCTGTTGCATTCTAATTGTTCTAGTATCACATCACTAAACATCAGCTTATTGAACCTGTTGCATTCTAATTGTTCTAGTATCACATCACTAAACATCAGCTTATTGAACCTGTTGCATTCTAATTGTTCTAGTATCACATCACTAAACATCAGCTTATTGAACCTGTTGCATTCTAATTGTTCTAGTATCACATCACTAAACATCAGCTTATTGAACCTGTTGCATTCTAATTGTTCTAGTATCACATCACTAAACATCAGCTTATTGAACCTGTTGCATTCTAATTGTTCTAGTATCACATCACTAAACATCAGCTTATTGAACCTGTTGCATTCTAATTGTTCTAGTATCACATCACTAAACATCAGCTTATTGAACTTGTTGCATTCTAATTGTTCTAGTATCACATCACTAAACATCAGCTTATTGAACCTGTTGCATTCTAATTGTTCTAGTATCACATCACTAAACATCAGCTTATTGAACCTATTGCATTCTAATTGTTCTAGTATCACATCACTAAACATCAGCTTATTGAACCTGTTGCATTCTAATTGTTCTAGTATCACATCACTAAACATCAGCTTATTGAACCTGTTGCATTCTAATTGTTCTAGGATCACATCACTAAACATCAGTTCCTATGGAACTTGACACCTTCTTATTGTTCTAGTACCACCATCTATGAGCATTAATTTCTATTGAACTTGTTGCATTCTTATTGTTCTAGTACTTTACTAAGATAAGCTTCTCATGTTTATCTTGTTACCTTCTTATTACTTTAGGGCCACATCACGGAGTGTTTGCTGCTTATGATCTTTATGCCATCAATTTAGATAAGCTGCTATTAGGGTCCTAGACAATCCTGGAAATTAATTTAGGGCATCTTTTAAAAGCTGTTTTAAAAAAGTTGGGGGGGGGGGGGGGGGGTGAGCATTTTATATTGTCATTATGTTAGCTTTAATATTAAAACAAACAAATTTGCAAATACTGTAAACGTATTAGAGATATACTTATGGCTTCTGTGGTCTGTTTAAATTTTGTGTTATTCATATGAAATGAATGAGCATGACATTTAACACAACAGGTGTTAGTAGTTCATCTCACAAACTTAGACGTACCAGGATTAGAGAAATATGCTAGGCAGTTTGGGACAAATTGTTCTTGGGGCTTTCGAGCAGGAGTACGGGAGTCGCACTGTGAAAGATACTGGGACATCAACAACCATGAAGATGGCACATTTTTATTTTTTTAAATACTTGTCTTCTGTTCAGTGTTCTTTTGTAAATGTTGGTATTCTCCCTTGAATATTCAGTTGTCTGTTTATATTATCAGTAAACTGAGAGTAATAACTCAAGCATTTGAAATTTATGTATGGTCATAACTAATTAATTATCCTTGCCTGGTCAGGAGGTCATGTTATGTTGTTTGTGTTGAGGGCCCCAGTGTAACCTTACGGTTAAACGGAGCTTACCAAGATTTCTGTGTTTAGAGTTCTCATACTTGAGGTGTTAATCCTGTGGGCTATAAATTTGAAGGAGACCAGCTAGAAACATAACTGGACTTTTTTGTTATCTACAGATGGGCGAATTGATCACAGTTTTAAAAGATTCAAAACAAACAGTTCCACAGGAGTTGTTAGAAATGGCTGAAAGGGAATCCAGGTTTAACACGCGAGGCAAGTGTTTGTTTAAAACTTTTACTTAACTCTTCTGTCCCTGGCAGGTATTTCTTCAACAGTTTTTATCTGGAGGATTTATTGCCTAAGAGAAGTCTAATTCTAAAAATAAGACATTTCTAAATGGCAACTGCAGCTGTTTTCATAAATATTTGTACACCCTTAGTATTCCCTTAGAGTAGCGGTTCTTAGCCTATGGGTTGCGACCCTTTTGGGGGTCGAACGAGCCATTTACAGGGGTTGCCCAAGACCATCTGGAAATATATTCACTGAATCCCCGGTTGGGTTCCGGGGCCCCATTGTGGGGAAAACAAGAATAGACCCTCTGCCTACCCAAAAGCATGTCGTAAGAGTCGACTAATTGGGGAGCTTCCTTTGAAGTCGGAGTGCATCTACCTGAGAGGCAAGGAACCAACAGTCTGGTTCAAGGGAATCAGATCTGTAAAACTGATGCTCATGCAACACTCAGGTTCTGGAGCAGGGCTGCAGTTCAGAAGTGGACGAACAACCAGAACTTTCCACCAGAGTGTACAGCTGGTGAAGGCGAAGAAGATATTCACTGAAGTTATGAAGTGGCAACGAAAATAATTGTATGGTTGGGGGTCACCACAACATGAGGAACTGTATTGAAGGGTCACCACAACATGAGGAACTGTATGAAAGGGTCACCACAACATGAGGAACTGTATTAAAGGGTCACCACAACATGAGGAACTGTATTAAAGGGTCACCACAACACGAGGAACTGTATTGAAGGGTCCCAGCATTAGGAAGGTTGAGAGTAGGGCAGTGTGGCTGTGAAATTTCAGGATCTCTGTCCGGTGCAGAAGCTACTTTCTGTTGTAGCACTGGAAATTAGGACAAAGATTCCCCAGGATGTGAAATCTTAGCGTTCACCTCCTGTAATCTTCGGTGCGATCTTATGTTGGTGTGTCCAGACTTTGCTCTGGTTCCATAGTTTTGAGTCTACATATAATTTGTTTTACATATCTTGTTTAATTTTGCGACTCCATTTCCTGTAGAACCATTGGCAATATTCTTTTATGTCCAGCAATAAAGCTTTGCTTAAATTAGCATTTCTTGTCCATTTAGCCTGCTCATAGTGCATTGGTAACACAGTCTCTCAGTCCAGACATAAAGCTTTGCTTAATTGAGCATTTCATGTCCATCTAACCTGCATGTAATGACTGGTAACTCAGCTGTTGATGATTTCATCCTGTTAATTCTTCACCCAGTCCGTGAAAAATAATTAATCTTAGATTTTAAAATTTGTCTAGGTTAATAAACAAGTTTCTCTTTATAATTCTTTCAACTTTATTCCCGATAGGTTTCTCAGATCAGTACAGAAAGCCACAGAGATCCGGTAAGAATATAGAGAAAAATGTTGGCATAACCCTTTATCATTTGCAGTGTATTCATCACATGAAACTAGGAACCAGAGCATGATTATTATATAGATTATGCTTTAAATAGAATAATGTGGAGTGTCTGTCTGTGCTTTAAATAGAATAATGTGGAGTGTCTTTCTGTGCTTTAAATACCCTGTGTCTGTAAAGTCATGGTGCGCTTTTGACCGTTCACAGGAAAGCAACAAAAGAAGATAGATATGTGAAATCTTCACCAAATGAGAGAAAAACTTTCCATTAGAAAATGTAGTTGGTGGTTTCTAAAGGTGTCATTAGGTGACAGCAACATTGAACTTTATGTCTTCATTCGTTAGGTGATGCTAGGTGTTGCATACACAACACAAACAAAATGGCAACTGTACTTACGGAGTGTACCCTCAAAGAACAGCGTTTTAGTCTGCGGGTTTTTTTTTTAAGGGCTAAAAGGCTGCCTGCAAAGAACATTTATAAGGAAATGCTTCCTGTTTATGCTGACAAATGTTTATCCTGTAAAGCGGTGCATAGCTGGGTAAAGAATTTTTCGCACAGACGTTCTGTGATTGTTGATAAAGTCCAATCTGGTCATTCTGTTGAGATTGCAACAGATGCATCAGTGCAGCTGGTGGAGGAGATGATTAGAGGTGACAGGTGACTAACGGTTGACCCTGTAGCAGCTGCAAGAGGGTGGTCACATTGTTCAGTGTACATTTAAAAAAAAAAGAGGTGACAGTGTGAATGCTGATTCATACTGTAAAGTTGTGTCCATGCTTCTTGATGCAGTTTGAAGAAAACCTCCAGGCCTGTTGACTAGAGGAGTACTGCTCTTTCATGACAATGCCAAACCACATACGGCTCGGTTAACTCAAGAGTAAATTAACCATCCAGGGTGGGAACTTTGGAACATCCACTTTACAGCCTTGACTTAGCCCTAGCGATTCCCACCTTTTTTATCCGCTGCAAACCCACCTTGGCCTGAGACATTTTGAGAATGATGCAGAAGTTGAACGCATAGTGAAAATGTGGTTTACAAAACAGAGCATGCGGTTCTATGCAGCTTGTTTTGAGGACTTGTAAAATGATGGTACAGGTGCATCAGTGTTGGTGGAAATTGTGTTAAAGAATAAAGGGACAGTGTAGGTGTAATAACAAACTGTTTTCAAATTGTTATCGCGTTTATTTTATTTTTTTTTTACACAACTATTTGTGTCTTATTTATACTTTCTCCTCATTTAAGAGAACACGCAGTTGCACATGTTATGTATGTGTGAATTAGGTTAGATATCCCTGTCTTTTCCTGCACCTAGATTATAGTTACTTTTGGTCATTGTTAAGATATTCAGATAACTTATTCCTTATGTGGGTTGCGGACTCCATTAGTGGAGGACGCAAAGTTAGGCCCACCCCCTGGTAGCAAGCGTCTCATAAAAGGTAGCTGATTAGTTTTAAATCAGATTTGTTAGAACCCTAAACCAGAACTGTTGTGGTCAGGTAGATAGATATCTTAGCTTATATTGGTAAGCAAATAGGTTCTCTTATGTGTTACCTAACTTTATTTCTACAGGCTATTCAAATGAATACAGAAAGCCATACAGACCAGGTAAGAGAATGGAGCAAACTGTGCGTCTTATTTGTTAGATTAAAAATTGTTTATTAGAATAAGTGTGTCCCCTACTGTGGGTTCCTTGGCCCCATTTTGGGTAAAACAAGGATAGACTCACTGCCCCCAACAAGCATTTTGTAAAAAGTTACTAATTGAGCGTTTCCTTCGAAGTTGAACTGCACCTACCAGAGAGGCTGGCAACCGGTAGTCTGCATAAAAATAAGCCAGATCTTTCAGATAGACATGCACGAACAAATCAAGTTCTGGAACAAGTCCTAAGTCCACAAGTGGCAAACAACCAGAACTTTCCACCTGAGCTTACAGCCAGTGGGTGCAAAGAAGAAGAAGCAAGAGTGGACAGAAGAAACGGAGTTTATTACAAAAATGTAAGGGGAGTTTTTTATTTATTAAAATATTATATCTACCCTCTTCTGCCTTCTGCTGCACTTGTCCTTCTGTTTACGAGGTTTCTTCACATCTATGATGCGCATTTGCACCACCTAAGCCAGAGACACGGACAATATGTTTTACTGGTAAACACTGAATGACAAATGTTGAGTATGTTCTCTGTTCCAGACTGCGTTTACTCTTTCTTCTGTCGCTGTCTAGGGTTGTGATGACCGTGCATCAGCTCCACTATCTCGGTCACATGGAATTACTAACTTATACATTCTTCATTGTCTCAATTGTGTAGATGCTAATTTGTAGGCTCATTGCATGCAAAATATGTTCATGTAAAAACACAAATGGTCAGTCAGCAAGCTTTTATCTTGGTACCAGTAAACCGGATAAATTTGCCTACTATGGCTACTCGGATTCATTCTGTTTTAAACGCTCTCAATTTCTCTCCCATGCTTTCAGCTCCAGTGCTTAAGACAGATCTCACTTTCTCCTTTCTAGAGTTACCTCCTATGCAGTTCTGTTCACACTTTCCCATGAACTTCAACTTTCACCTTTGCTTCTTTTCATGTGGGAACATTGTCATTCATTAAAAGTGTATTTGGCTACAGTTTTCTTACTTGACCGTTTGTGCTAATTAGGGATTTCTCTGTTGTCTGCTATACTATCCATTGTCATCCATCATGTAGCAAGTCCTTTACAGAACGTCGCTCTCATCACAGTCTGCCTGAAAGAAACTCACTCTCGCCAGTTCTCCCACTTCATGTACTTTCACACTCAAGGAATCACTTATATCCTGTGCCCATCTTCGTGTCGGTCGGCCCCTGCCCCTCCTTCCTGGCACCATGCCTTCTGCTAAAAATTTTTCCAATCTGTCGTGGCGCTTGATATGACCAAAATATTTCAGCTTTCGAGAAAGGATGCTGTTTATTAGCAAGTCTTCCTTGATGTTCAGATCTTTTAAGATGTCAATATTTCTCATCTTCTTTGTCCAAGATACTCTGTGAATCTTTCTATAGCATTTCAGCTCAAACGCCCCTATTCTCTTTCCTAAGGACTGAGAGATAGTCCACGACTCACATCCGTATGTAGCCACAGCGAAGATGCATGCTCTCAAAATTCCTAATTTGTATCTCCTTGCTGGTGCTTTACCATAGACTTATAAGCTGTACAATCGAGCCACCCTTATTATACATTTTATGTTGCGTGGTAGGAAAGAATTTATATTGTGCTGACTTTCATACATGTTTTGTTGTCTTTGTTTGCTAGCTTCTAATGTGTTGTTTATTTCTTTCAGATTTTAACAGGAGGAACAGTTGGTAACAGCAGCAGTTGGGAGATTGTACTGTGTATATATAGGAAGATGTTTTTTTGATGAATCAGTCATTCTGCTCACCTTCTCTGTTGTCAAATAGCCTGGATCTTTGCTAGGTCTGTTATGTGAATGATTACTTTGAAAGAAGTTTTTCAGTCTTGCTTATCAAATTATGTGTAGTAAGGTTTTTGTAATTTTTTTTTTTACAAGCTAGGTATAATATATCAAAACAATTCTTAGAATGCCATGAACCAAGAAGAAGCGGAACACTGACATCCCACAAGGATCTGAACATCGAGGAGAGTTGGCTGATAAATAACATCTTCTCCTAAAAAGTTAATTGTGTATCCTTTACAGGACGCTGCAGAACCAACCCCATCATTTTTTGGCTGTTGTGGTTTTTTAGGCACATTTATGTGCACTAGTTTGCCATTGTTTCCTGAATAATCCACCCTCAAAACCAATGCACGGTGATCTGCTGCCAAAAAGCCTGCAGCTGAGTTCATACCCGGTGTTACGAATATGAAGCGCTTTTGCAACTCCTAAACCACTGATGCTGACCCTCTTATGAAAGCTGAGGTTTGTTGGTCAGGTTAAAGGTCATGGTGGCCTGGAGAGAACGGTGAAGGGTGCAGTTTCAGAAAAATGAGGCAGACCGTCACAGATGTGGATTAAAGACATTGAGGATGCATTGGCTATTGCACACAGGGCTGGAGAATTGGCTAGAGAAAGAGAGACGTTCAGACATGCCATGATGAGAGCCATGTTGTGTACATGACCTGCTGATCGATAATACAATATCTGGGTCAGCCTTAACAGGGGAATAGATATATCTGCAACAGTGCTGCAGGCATTGAGATAGATATTGAGAATAGGATGGCATGGGTTGTGTTGCTTGGAGGGGAAGTACTGCAGATATTGAGAATAGGATGGCATGGGTTGTGTTGCTTGGAGGGGAAACAATCAGGCAGCAGGCAAGCAGGAAGGATCAAATAATTGCAGTAGGTTAAAAGTTGAAGCATATCAACATGTGATGACAGTAACGGTTCTGAAATCCCATACGCTTATTGAGGACTTCTCCTAATGCCATCTGGTCTTGCTAGTTAAAGTCACTAAGAGATGTCATTCCCCTGCCTGCCTCCAGCACAGTCTAACATTGTCGTCTGGAAAGAAGAAAAAGTGGCTTCTTTTTCTGCGCAAGGACATAAGCAATATAAGACTGTCCGGTCAAATCACATTTGTAATTATGAACTGATGGAGAGACATGACTGTTTTAAAAGTTCTTTTTCGTGGTTAGGTTCATAATTTTGGAAGAACTTTGTCATTAAACATTTTTTTAAAAATATTTTGTGTGTACGGAGTGGTTATTTGATGTTTTGTGTGTGCTCCATTTGTGAAATGTAAGTTAAATTGGCTGTTTTCTGTGGCGAAAGTGAACATATATATTTATGGTTAAGGTTGTATTTAGCATCAAAGATTTTAGTTAATTTCATAGCGCCCCATTCAGTTCATAGTTGTAGTTTGTACACAGATATATGGAGTTTGTCACTGGAGCTACAGTTTGTGCTTTATGAGACACTATCAGCAGGCCGTTTACTGAGAAAGACCGAGATGTACGGGATGACTCAATGAAATGAAATCAAACCACTCGACCCTAACTTTCCATTTCCATCAGGTTTGGGGCATCACTCGTAGAAACTCGTGAAAGTTTTTCACCATTGATTACTTCCCGTATCTTATGGTCTGCTATTTAGCTCGAGGCTTTTACCCCTAAATCTCACCCAGGATGGCAAATGACAGATATCCCATTCAGCCTCCAGTGAAGATGTAATTGGGGTAGGCTGTCAGCTACACAATATTTGTGTTTATTCAATGAATCAACATCATGGCACACAGGTGTTAACCACAAGTGCTCCGTTGTACTTTTAACTCATGCCTGAGTCTGAAGAATCTAAGCACAGTGCACGAACTCCGTTGCACTGTCGAGAATTCTGAAATACTCAAAATTTTTGGCAGCGCCGTTAGTCTACTCTTTTTTTTTGGGGGGGGGGGGATTCCAATTGCTGAAGGTATTTTATACATGCGCAATAATACATACGGGGGTTTGGTCTTACTAACCAAAGACCAGAGATAAATTACTAGGAGTCCACGTGAAAAAACCCACAGCCTTCAACGGGGTTTGAACCTGGGACCTCCAGCACTCAAGGTGGATGCCATGCCCCGAGACCACTCAGCCCCCACGGTATATTTACTCGGTGTCCTGCTAGTTACTATTGAAAGGACGCTTCTTTAACGATATTAATGACATCCAAAGGGTCGTAACATCGACTTCAAGGGCTTTAAATAAGAACTACAGAGATCGTTACAGTGTTTGTTAGATCGCACCACTTGCTGTATCAATGCACAAGGGACTTACTTTGAATAAAATACAGGTTATATCTTCAACTGTTGATTATTTTAATTTCTATGGAATTAGTCTCATTACCTAATTGTCGAACCTTGTAATTACTAACGGAGCATGGGACACAGATGTATCAAATTGAACACAAGACTGTGAACAGACATAATTACCAACGGAACATGGGTTTCACTATGGGACACGTGGGTATGAAAGTGGAAATAAAACTGAACTGACATAATCACCAATGGGAACCGGGATTTACTGTGGGACACAGATGTTTGAAATTGGACACAAGACTGTTAGCCGACATAATTACCGATGGAAAACGGGATTCACTATGGGACACAAATGTATGAAATTGGACACAAAATTGTGGACAGACATAATTACCAACAGAACATGGGATTCACTTTGTGAGACATGGGTATGAAATTGGACACAAGACTGAACAGACAAAATTACAGATGGGAAGCGAGATTTACTGTGGGACACAGATGTATGAAATTGGACACTAGACTGTGAACAGACATGATCACTAACGGAACATGGTATTCACTATGGGACCAGATGTATAAATTGGACAGAAGACTGTTAACACCATGATTACCAACGGAACATGGTATTCACTATGGGACCAGATGTATAAAATTGGACAGAAGACTGTTAACACCATGATTACCAACGGGACATGGGATTCACTAAGGGACACAGATGTATGAAATGAATTATGGGAATTTTTCCTTACCTGCTTGGTGTGTCCTGTTTTAAACTCAAAATTTAGTGAAATGTCCCATTTTCAGCTCAAGATATTGCGGTCACTTAAACAAGGGTGATGCCCGGCTCGCTAGTTCAGTTGTTTAAACCTGACTGCACGGCGACCGGGTGACGGACTTCTTGTGGTCCGGGTTGACGCCAGTGGGTAGGCAGAAATGCAAATTTTTTCAGATTTACGGTATAGTGATTAGAAAGGATTATCCTCACAGCACTCAGGACAGACCCATATGTGCTCCGATCTCATCATCAGAAGCTCCACAAATGTGAAACGACTGATGACGCCTGTTCTCTGTTGGTTAATGAAACGTCTTGTCCCCTTAGTGAAATGTTCATTTCTTGCAGCTCCAGGCTGCACCCCAGTGTCCATCATCAGTCTAGACAGGGATATGGAGTCATGTCCTTTGGCGTGCTACTCGGTACGGTAAGTGCGGCGCATGGCGTTGATAACATTACTTCTGTCCGTTACTGGGCCAGCAATAGCAACCGCAGTGTCAGCACGAGAGTCTGCACGCTCGTTCCCTTGAACACCCGTATTACCTGGCACAAAGATGAAGATTAGGGCAGATATTCGTGAAGTGCTTAGTGTTGCAATCCCCTCTTGCCTGATAAATCCAGCCTGGATTTTTTTAAAGCATATTCATCGAGTCACCAAGAATGCATAGGCCGACGTGTGTGAACTTTTGAGTACCAAGCCATGCTAAAGATCTTGCTACAGTCATAGTTTCCACTGTAAGGCTACTAGTTGTAACAGCAAAGGCGCCATTCATCTACTTGATGGGTTTTCCCCCGAAGCTTACTGCGAAGTTCCATTCACGGTATCTATGATGGAATCGAAGCCGACGGGTTGCGATATCCATAGTACCGAGCCGAAGGGTTTTAATTAACAACTCAATGTTTCTGGATATTAAAACAAGGGTGATGACGATGATGATGAAGATGATGACTAGGAGTCACTACGTATCTACAAAAATTGTGGGTCTCAATTCAACAGTCCACCACTGTCTTGATGCATTTAGGCGGTGCTGACACAACTTTTATAGCCTGGAATTTTGTCTTAGTCATTTCCTCATTCTACCTAGATTTATGAGTTTAATGTAAAATAAATGCTAGTCATAAATGTTTTGGGATGTTCGCGATACTCTCTAGGCTTTTATTTATTTATTTATTTATTTTATGGTTTACTGGTTTGTTTTCATCGCTATTTTGTTGTTAATTGTAAAACTTAATTGCAAGAGTGGGAGGAGAGAAAACGCGCTAGCTCACACGTTTGTTTGTCGGCCCACCCCACGTGAGCGAGGAATAGAAATAAACGAACGAACTTCATTTTTAAAGGGTTCTAAGAATTGGGCACGCAGGCCCGTCTAATAATCTACCATCTGACTTCACCTCTTGACATTATTTCATTGAATCACCTCTCAACATTATCATTATTGTCATCATTGTCCTGTTGCGCCAATGTTTGTGTGTTTTAGTATCCAGAAGCCATGAGTTGTTAACCCTTAGGCTCGGTATTATGGATATCGCAACCTTTCGGCCTTGATTCCATTGTAAATACCGTAAATCTGGGAGAAATTAGGTTTTCCTGCCTACTCCCGGGATTGAGCCCGGACCTCAAGGAGTTCGTCACCCGGTCTCGGCGCAATTCGGTTTAGCAAACTACTCTAGAGAGCCGGGCGTTGCGCCATTTAATGTCACAAAAGGCTCGCAGTCTGTCACTGGATTTCATTCTGTCCTGTGCAATTATTTCAATATCAATGATGGGATCCAGTCCAGCAGCTTTGGCTTTTCTCCCCAACGTTCGATTTAGGCTTTCTTTCAGGTGTTCTGGCTTCC